ATAACTAATATTGCTTTACTTGTAGTTAGACGTCTCACGCTCTCTAAGCGCCCACCTTTCAGAAGATTTATACTGCTGCCGCAGCAAATTTATTATTTATATTCGCTGTTGTTCGGTGCTTGCGTGTGCTGACAGGTGAATCAGAATTGAGGAATTGCCAGCTCGACCCGTGCGGCGAGGGGTCGCACAAGGTAGCCCCGGCCACAGACCCGGCAGACCCAGAGCCAGACGCACAATCGCTCAATCGCCTCGACTTAAAAATTCAGCATTTCTACCATTTGTCATGTTTATGCTTTGCCAGCTGCCTTCCACTCACACACCAGCTCTATCTACATCTTTGTCTCTCTCCCTCTCTGTCTTTCTGCCCCTCTTTGTTATGCTGCCCTTGGGTCAGGAGACATGAAACGTGCAGGCGGCGCTAAGCCTAAAAGTATGCATAAATAAAAAAGAGCACGTAAAGCAGATAACAAAGTCAAAACAAGCCATTGATAACTGTATTTGGGTGGCTCTCTGTCTATTTGTCCATTTATATATATATATATATACGAGTATGTATGAGTGTGGGTGAGTTTTGTTTAGAGTTGCTAGATAAGCAGCTAAACAGAGTGCGCTTTATTATTGTTATTTAAGCAAAATTTGACAACGATTTAAGTTTTGATTTGAATGGAAAAAGCTGTAATTGAGCTGTAACTTGAACTTCAATTGAACACTGTAGCTATAGAGCTTTGGCTAACGAAATGAAACCGCATTCGATACCTGTTTGTAAAATAACTGAGAAGCCAGCAGTCAAAGCCAGGCGAATAACAAAAGGCAAACTGAAAGCGCTGCAAACGCTGCGAAGCCCCAGCAAGGATACAAACGCGAGCAGGAGGCGGGGCAAGCGAGACTGCGCGGCAGGGGTAGGGTTAAAGCAGAGGAGCAGAGCAACTAGCCCAACCAGCTAACGAGCGAAGTCAAAGCATTGCAAGCAAATAACAAAACCTCAAAAAGAGAAGAAGAAAAAGAGAGAGAGAGAGAGAGAGAGAGACAGGGAGAAAAAGTTGCTCATAGTAAAAAATCAATCAAATTGCTGAAAAGCCACAATAGAATGCCGGCAAATGCTATTTGCGGTTAGAAAAATACTGGAAAATGTCAACTTAATTTAATTAAATTTGTTGTTTAGGACTGAAGAGCTCTTAGCAGGTGCTAAAAAACTTTCGAGTTACTTATTATAATGAAAGTGTCCAATAGATACAAATTATTTTATAATTTTCCAGCATCTCCCACACTCCCCCTCACTCTATCTCTCTATCTGTGTGTTCTTCGCTCTCTCTCTCTCTATTGCCGCTTAAATTTCATGGCATTTAGCATTAATTTATGTCTTGCTTATGAACAAAATACTCTGCTATAAAGACAGCGAGGGGGAATGGGAGGGAGAGAGGAGAGTACGTGCTTCTCATTTCTCTTGCAACCGCAAGCTGTTGCCAGGACCCAACCAGTTAGCAGCAAATGCACACATATACATGCACATGCATATATATTTATACTTTTTATTGTATGTATGTTTGTATCAATATTTGCAAGCTCCGGCTAGTCCGACAACTGTTGTAATTTACATGGCAGCCCTCTCCTTCTCCGCAACCAAAGCGCGGCATACAAACAAGCAAAACAAAAAGCGAAAAATACAACAAAAAAAAAAGGAAACTTTTTAATTTTCGTGCTCGCCTTTCATGGCCAAAAGCCCGTGCGTCTGACTCTTCTCCGTACGTCTGTCTGTCTGTCAGTTTTTTTTTTTTTTTTTTATTATTTTTTATTTTTTATTTGTTGTTGTGCTGCCAGGGGCGGCTTACGCGCGTATAGATTGCACATCATTTTCATTTTCATTTTCGATGAAAAGTATGCTCCGAGTTTTGCATGGCATCCATTTAGCAGCGCTTATGTGCGGCTCAGCGACATATTAAACAATCAAACAGCACTTGGCAAGGACATCAAAAATATATAATATAAACACAAAAAAGAGAACGAAACTGAAGTAGAGTGAGCTGAAAATGAGGAGATAAAATTTGGTACGCTTCGGCAAATTGATTGCCTTTCGGGGCAATTTTTAATGAAACGGCAAACAATGCGACAAAAACCAAAATCAAAATTCTATTAAAATGCTGTTTGTCTAGGGGGCGTGTTTATGTGTGTGCATAGGGGCTGTTAAAGTGTATATATATGTGTGTGTGTGTGTGTGAGTGTGGCTGTGAGCGTGTGTGCCCAATTGTTTATACTTGTCACACATCAATTGTAAGGCAATATCTTGTTTTATTTTTTGAGACCCGCAATGCACAATTGAAAAAGCCAACAGATGGCGCTTTGATGCTACAATTATACAATTTTAGCATTTACACTCTCATCTAGTCTAGCCAAAAAAAAAAATTCTAGCTCTATTTTTTAGACCTAATCGTATTTCTTGATTTCAAAATAAATGTTTGTTGTTTAATATTCAATTTTGAATGCCCGCTTCTCCCTCCTAAGTCACTGTCCGTGTGACTTAAATCTAGCACATAAACTAGCTTGTATAGTCCTTCTATAAATTGCTAAGAGCCTTCGACTGCGGCCACAAGGAGGGAGGCAAATCCGAAATTAGTATTATATATTTTGAAATATAAATGGTATTAATATATGTATATATAAATTTTTTTTAAAATATATATTTTACGGAATTTAATTTTGTTCTAGTTTTTTGTTTTTGTTTAATTTTATTTATTTATTTTTATTTTTTATTTTATTTATTTCATTTTTATTTTTTTATATTTTTTTTATTTACACTTTTTTTTATTTTTTTTTTTAAATAATTTAATCAATGTACACAAGTGTTGTGCTTAACATTATTTTCATTTAAGGGTTTAGGACACATTATCCTTTTCTACTATTTTTATTTTATTTTATTTTTTTTTTATATATATAAATTCAGCATTTTATTATGATTGTCATTTGTGAGTTTGCTTATGCAATGTTGGATGATCATATGTAAAATTAGTTATATGTATATGTATGCATATACATGTACATGTGCATTGAGAGCATGGAAAGCCTTATAAATTTTCCATATTTGATTTTATGAAGTGTTTATGACTTTTTTGCTCGCTCACGTATACCAAGTGCTCATATTGTGACACTCAATAAATGTTTTCCAGGAATTGTTAAAACTCACACTCTACATTTCGAAGAGTCTTTGAAGTTGGAAATAAACTCGTTAAAGAGTATTTCAGAGATTTTTGGTATGTGTGTATACATATGACATATTCATGCATATCTATTGTTGTATGTAATGATAATGCCCATTGCATTATGTTGCTCACTGACTTTTCACTGCAAACAAATTTACGGTATTCAAATGCATCCGACTGCAGCTTTCATATTTTTAATATTTTTAATTTGATAGAAAACAATTAATAGTAGCCATAAAATTTGCAATTGAAATTTAATATTTTATGCTCATAATAAAAAGTGTTCAGCATATTCTGATTTTTGGCTTGTTTCGGCTGCTGAAACACTCAAACATCTATTGACTGAAAAATTGGAAATAAAATGCATTTTGCGGCTGCAGTCGTTGATTTGAGCTTGGCAAATGTTTTCGCTAAATGCAAATTCATTTGCAGCACAAATCCGCGCTTGTGGTCAGCTGCGTATCCAATAAAAGCCAAAATGCACTTGCCTAAATACACACAGACACGGAGAGAGAGAGAGAGAGAGAGAGAGAGAGAGAGAGAGAGAGAGGGAGAGAGAGGGAGAGAGAGAGAGATAGAGAGAGGGAGATAGAGAGAGAGGCACGCACTCACAGTCTGGCCACATCATGTGACCTATTTGGTTTGCCCCCGTGGTCAATATTTATCGTAGATATTCGATTTAGCCAGACTGCAAACAAGCAGCGCAGCAATGCAAATAGCCAAAATGTCAGTAAAATCTGAATCAAGCCAGAGAAACTATTGCACAATTTTTTGTTTTAGCAACAACAACAACAGCAGCAACAGCAGCAAGAGCAGCAACAGCAGCAGCTGGCTACAAGTAAACGCATTTAACTACACTTTTCATATAAGACTGTACTGAAATAATACTCTCCCTCTCTCTCTCTCTCTCTCTAAATTTGATTGTGTGTGTATTTTGGGACTTCTTCAATTGAAACAAGCTCAAAATGTTTTTCAATTCCAGTTCAATTTCTATTTGCTGATTGATAGACCTATGCATTTTAGAATAGCTAACTTTAACTTTATTTAGGATTTATGGATATTTGTAGCTTGTAAATTTTAATAATTGTTGATTTTAAAATTGCACAAAATTCTTACAGTTTCTAACAGTTACCTGATTAAACAATTTATTTCACTTGAGTTGCATTCATTCAATTCAAATTATTTCCCCATTAAAGAGTCAAAAGTTTTCGAGATCATATTGCTGCCATAAAACTCTTGAAAACTCTTATTCTTGTAATATAATAAATTATATTTATATTTATTTTAATTTTTTAAATGAAGATTTTTTTCTGATAACACACATATATATAAATATACAGTGAGTAATATAAGTATGTTTTTTTTTTTTTCAACTTCAAACGCCCTTATAACATGAAATATTAATTGAAATTAAAAAATTGCAAATGCTAAGTTATAGATAGAAAAATTCCCTCTCCAATGAGGTATATATCAATATAGTATATTTAGCATAATTATCCAAAAATCACATTCGCTTCAGTGAATTTATGCACAAATATTAAAATCCCATTTTTTCATTCACTCTCCCTCTTTACTTTAGTATATTACAATCAAATACATTTTTAATATAATCACAATTGAGTTAAGCTTTTGCCTACTTATTCATCCGCTTCAGTGAATTTATGCACAAATTTCAAATGACATTTATAGCGACAGCAGCCAGTGGCAATCAGCCTGGCTGGAAGTGAAGTGAACTGAACGGGGACTTTTGTGTTTGCGTTTGAGTGTGGGAGGGGTAGGGGGAGGGGATGTAGTCGGCCGACTTACCTGAATTGGGTCCATTGCTGTTGGGTCGCGCCGATGGGGCACCGTCGCGTGCCTCTACCTCGAGGGCGTAGGCGCCCTTCTTCTCTCTGTCGAACACGGTTTTGGTAAAGATTTCGCCGCTTTGCAAATTAATTTCGAAAAATTCTTTGCCCTCGTTTCGTGGCGAGTCGACGATGTAATAGTAGACCTGCAAGTACATGCAACACATGCCGTTAGAAGTGAAAATTAAAATGAAAATGAAAAATAAAAGAGAGCAAAACCCGTTTGCTGTTGACAAATCTACAAATTGTCAGGAAGTTAATTAAAACATGTCGAGTTCAAAGAGGAAATTGTCCCCAAAACAAAATTTAAATCAAGCGCAAAAAATGCGCCATATTACAGTCGAAGCTTTAATCATGATGATGCTGATGTTGATGATGATGATGATCGGGCTAATGATAATCAGTTGCAGGGCGTCTTGACGCGCCCATAAATGAACAACGCTAATTAGTGCAGACATTTTGCACGCGTCCATGCAAATTACTTGGCTGCAGGACACGAAATGTGTCGGCCAAGAGAATGGCCAAACAAGAGCGGTAAACAGCAGCCTCAGCCATGGCCAGTTATCCGTTACCCAATACCCATTACCCATTGCCCATTGCCCATTACCCATTACCATTTAGCCGTCACCCAGGCACCATATTATTATAATCGCGAACATTGCTTCGGGCCGCGGCATCCCCTTTCATGTCCTGCCCTCAAGGTCTGCCCGTCAGACGCATAAAGAGCGGGGCACAGACTGCTTTGCGTTTTTTCCTGTTATTTTCTTGATTTCTTTTCTTTTTTTTTTTCTTTCTCCCCCCTCTTTGAACTTTCACTGAGGGCTTAGCGTACTTAAGGGTGTGTGAAAATACTGCAGCGCGGAAAAGCTGAAAAAAAGGAGCGAGTTGTGGCAACTCTTTGACATTTATAAGCCCAGCGCCAGATGAGCAAAAGGCGACAAAAGCAGCAAGCTGAGAAAAAAAAAATACAATTATAGTGGAGCGCGAATGGAGCTGAAAGTGTGAGCACTTAAAGAAGAGGAAGAGATCGCAGAACGAAGAAAAAAAAACGCAATGCGGCAAAGAAATGTTTTGCTTTCTATTTGAATTACAACTGAATTTAATGTAATACTTCTTTAAATATTATCTGAGTTCATACTTTGAATGGGGTGGCAACTCTGTTCAGTAAATCACAAGCTGTGAAGCCTCAATTGATTACTTTACATGCTCCAATGTTGTTAGTCGAGTTGTGTTAAACAAATTTGAGGTGCTTATTGTTGACTAGGTGGCAACCCCCCGCAAAAATTTGAATTGCCTAGCAGAGAACTCAAACTACTTTAATGCTTCTGTGTAGAAAATACTGATGATTCAGAATTGAAAGTTAATCTAGGAGCTTGTAGATGCTGAATATAATAATGAATATTAGATGAATATTTGTAACTAAGTGGCAACGCCAGTTTATCATATAACACAATTTTAAGCCACACTGTCAGCATATATAGGCTATGCAACAACTATGTATTTATTTATTTATTTAATGTCTATTTTCAACAAGATGGCAACACCAACTCATAGAAATGCTAACTGTTAAATCACTGAACATAATGCCACGAGATCGTACCTCTGTGAGTGCATAACTCTAGTTTACATTCATATTACCAACTAGCTTTCAGCTCCAACTGATGTTTCAAGCACTTAACATAATGTTAAAGCACTTATCACAGCGCCACTGTTAAGTCGCTGTAAATTGAAGCGCTTTTCTAGCACATTAAGCAAATGACGCTTTAAAGTGCTGCCAGCACCGCCCACGAGTTTTGCAAGCAGCCAATTGCCAACTCTTCTTGGTAACTCTTAACTTTTTACATCACCATCATCGTTTTTTGTTATTTTTTTTTCTCTTTTGTCCACCTCAGTCATTCATTTGCCAACAATCGCCTGGCATTTCCGCAACTGGCAATACCTGCTAGCCGTACCCATTGCACCCCCAACCCTATGGGCGACCCTCTATCTGAGGGGCTGGGCTTAAAATGGTTTGCACTCAATTTATTCGCGCTTCACGTTACTCACCTGATTATTTGGGAATGTGCCATCCTTGTCAATAGCGTTCACTTGCGTCACTTTGGTGCCAATCGGCTCGCCCTCCAGCACCGTTTCCTGTTCGCGTTCAGTGAATAACGGTATTTCGTCATTAACATCCTCGAGCATTATGTAAACGGTCGCTTCCGATGCCAATTGCTGGGCGCCATTGTTCTGAAATGAGAAAAAAAGAAAACGTTGAGCATGAAATGAGCACATTTTAAAATTAAATTTCCAAAAAAAAAAATAAAATAAAATAAAATAAAATAAAATAAATAAAAATAAATAAATTTGATTGAATTGCAGAGAAGAATTCTGTTAGCAAAGCAGTAAACATATTTTATGAGCATTTGCTACAACATTTTTTACGCCTTATGTGTTTTTATGGAGTTAACTTTTTCTCTCGTTTATGTTTAGCGAAGCACGCAATATTGATTGATTGATTGAGCCAATGCAAGCCATCAACAACAACAATTTATTAGGCTACATATGCCAGCGATTGTTTTCAATTGCAGGTCACAGCTGTTATTGAACTTGTATTTATTTGCCAATGTTGTGTCCATTAATTAAGGCAATGATATACATGCCCGTCTCTGAAATCCACAAATCAAATGAAACATATGTGCGGATGATGTGTTGTCTATTTACATTGACTTTGGCTGCACAGAAAATTCAAGCACAGCTCGCCAAAAACTCTTGATGTGTGTGTGTGTGTGTGTGAGTGTGTTTGTATTGGTAGAAACTGAGCAAATTTGGCAATCCGAATATGAATTATTTATGTTTGCCGATTTTGTGTTTTTATACTCATTCACAAGAGTGAAATGAGTGTTTCAGTTGTGGTCAATGCTGTCGGTCTGTCTAACCGTATGAATGTGAGCCCTAATGCAGCTAGACTCGTCTATACCGTAGAGCTATAGTGCTAAGATCTGACCGTTCCGCCCACTTGGGGCGTGGCAAATTGTATGTAACATTTTATGGTATGAAATGTATGCTCACGTTGACAACACCCATTGGGGGCGTGGCAAATCGAGAATCTGACAGCCTTTGGGCCATGAATGTGTATTCTGCAGTTGGTAAAGCCCGGCTGTAGTAATTCTTCTTTTTATTTATTTATTTTTTGGCAAATATTAATTTGCCAGTTTTCCAGTTAATTAGAGTTTGTTCAGGCAGCCGGAAACTCGTATGACAAAGTTTGAACTGGCAAATTGAGCTGTTTGATAAAGGCAATGCATAAGTAAACAACGAATATCTATTCGAATCGAGCTGGCAATCGATATAGAAATGTGCTCGTCTGTCAGCTAGTTTACTAACGTGAATTAGATGAAGACAAATTTAAATTTTTAGTGCTTTTCACATTAGAGAACTCTAAGACTCCAAACTAATTTGAAATTTCTCTGTGCAATTAAATTAATTTAATAGCTAAAAATTCATGGCATTTTTTATTCTTCAATATAATAAATAATACGACAAACTATTCTAGTTAACCGCAAAAGAATTTCTATTATAACATTTTTTACGCAAAAATTCGAATTAAAATTTGCAAAGAATTTGGAATTTATTTATGCATGTGAATAGCAAACCGCAAAAATGTTAAACTTAAAAAAAAAATAGGGAAATAAAAAATTAATATGAAAATGTCGACAACATTTGGGAAAAAATGCATTAGAGACAGATCTATACATATGTATATGTATATATGTCTATGTGTGTGCTAATGCCATGTCGTGGGATGTTTAATTAACTGCATTTAATGCGAATGCAATTGAATTTTAATAGCACGCAGAGAGCGCCAAAGCGAGAGAGAGGGAGACAGCTAGCCATATATAGATGCGTGGCCTTTGGGAACATCATTTGTGGCATTTGTTGGAGCATCGGCAGCATCGGCGCGCTACAGCTGCTGCTGGTCATGTTTTAATTTATTTGAGCAGCTGAAACAATTTGTCAATAATTTCAGTATTGCTGAATAGCCGCACTAATGAGCTGCATTAGAGAGATATGGCCATAGAGACAGAGAGAGAGAGAGAGAGAGAGAGAGGAAGATAGTGTGTGTGCCTGCACTGATTGAAATTCAATTGCGATTCGCACTCCGTCTGCCTGTCAATCAGTCAATCAGCTGTTCAATTGCCAGATGGCAGAACTAAATCACAGTGAGGCGAGGTTCATAGTCAAATTGCTAACCATAGAGAGAGAGAGAGTGAGAGAGAGTGAGAGAGAGAGAGAGAGAGAGAGGGCGGGCGACAGGGCACCGATGTCGTGCCTTCCAGCTCGCGCAAGTAATTAAAACTTTTCAAATAAAATAATTACAAACGTATTTTGAAGTCATTTCCAAATGCAAAAGTCAAATACAGCTTAATTGAGCGCAGCAGCGCTTGAAAACTTGAAGAACTTTTGCTTCATTCCTTCTTTCCTTTTCGGGCCTTATGCTAAGCAAACAATTTACAACTAAGAACTGAACTTGAAGGTTGAAATGGCAATGGAAATGGCAATAGAAATAGAAATAGAAATAGAAATAGAAATGGGAAATTTGTCAAATTCAAGCTGATCTGGAACTTACCTCCACGCGTATGGTCAGATTGTATTCCTTGATGCTCTCGTAGTCCAGCGGATGGTTGACTTTTATGTCGGCCCACGTGTCGCCGTTGTCCGGTCTCTGTTGCAGATAGAACGTATGAAATTTGTTCGTCTGCGCCGTGGACCCTGGCATTAGCCTATAGAACACCGTTGGATTGCCCTCGATGCCGGAACTGCAGACGTTGAGTCGCCCGATGCAAAACAGAGAAGAGTTATGTGAGTAAATGCGTTTCGATTGATTTGCCAGTTACAGTTAGTTAGTTAGTTAAGTTGGTTAGTTGTTGGTGTGGAAAGAGTTGAATGAACTACATGATATATGATAGATGGAGTTCGATATGATGAGTTTATGCTACAAATGTTTTAAAATACTTGTTGGCATTTCAAAAATCAAATTATTATGAAATGATTTGGATTTGCATCCAGGCATCGAGCGAACACTCGAATGCTTGGAGGCAAAAAAAAAAAAAAAAAAAAAAAAAAATTGAAAATTAATTAACAGTTAACTTTTTAAAGCTATATTAGTGACAGACTCACTCACACACTCGCACACACGCACTCACACACGTACTCATTCACACACATGCGACACATCAAAATACAAAAAAATTTGATTTACGACACAAAAGAATAACAAAAATTTCGTTTTCAAGACTTTCAACAGAACAAAAAATTGTAGATTTTCCGTTTTCGTGCAAATAAAACGCAAAGAAAAGAAGTCGAGAAATAACAGGGAAAAGCCAAGAAAATTTCGCTTAGAGGAAAAAAGATGGCGTCAAAACAGAAATGAAAAAATGGCTTCAAAAACATTTAATTGCCATTCGAGTGTCAAAAAGTTGTTGAAGCAAATTCTAGGCTGGGTGGCAGGAGGCGGAACTGGGCAGGGGGCGGGAGGAGGCAGTAGGCAGGAGTCTGTAGACACGGCCAGCAGATGATGATTGTTTGCTTTCGTGTGTACAGTGGGCGAGGCGCAGATAATGAAAAACAAATTAGGCAAAGGGAGCAAACAAACAAAATAAATTTTATTTGCACTTGGACAACACTTGCAGCTGACAGTGGAGAGCGAGTGAAAAAAAAATATATACAGATTGTAAACCCGAAGTAGCAGAAGCAAAAAATAAAATGGAAAACTTTTGATACTCGGGTAAAAAAAATAAAAATAAATAAATAAATGTTGCAAGAAATCTGTCAGACTGCGCAAAAATGTTGCTGCCAAGGGCGAGCGCAAAAAACAGATATATGCTAGGTATGTATATAAATATGATAGAAACATATGTATATATATTGGGCACAAAAAATCGGTTGCAAAAAATTGAGTGTGTGAAGGGGGGAGTTTTTTTCGGTTTTGGTTGGGGATAAATTTGTGGATTGCATGAACATGTTTGGCATTTGTATATAATTCATGTAGGTAGGTGTTGCTCTGTGTGTGTTTGTGTATGTGTGGGAATTACATATGGAATATTTATTGGTATTGGTCGATTGTATTGCAAAAACAAAACTAGTTTCGTGTCTTTGATGTGAATTTTCTTTCAGTGTACATCGTTTTATTTATTTCAGTGTTTCTGTGTTTGGTATTCTGAGCACTTGTTTTTCCTGGCTTGCAGTTTGCACCTACAATGCTAAGTCTAACTAATATTTATAGATCTATAGTCGGGGCCAAACGCGCCAGAAGAAAAAACGAGAAACTCAAAGAAAAACTTGAACACATAAGTTAAGTAAAAGAAAACACCTTGCAGCTGATAAGAACCAACCGCTCAATACTTTGTTCACACAGTCGAGTTGAGGGGGTTGATCTAAGGCTGAAACTCATATCAGCATCAGTTCTATTTCATTTAATATTAAAACTTTTTCAGATTAATGCTGCTGAGATAAAATTGAACTTTCAGAAGAAAAACTAAGTTGTTTTAAAAATAATTTCCTTTGAACAACTCGCCTTCATAATAAATAATTTGTATTACATTCTTTTTCAAAAAGAGATTGACAGCTATACAGGTTTATATTTTGGACATCAGTCCATTTTAATTCATCTCAGCTAAAAATTATGGAGGCATTAGATCATTAGATTTAATGGAGGCAACTAATTGTACGGAAAAGCAAACAGAGCTCTAAGCATTTGTTATCGAATTTATGAAAGGGCTCTCAGAGTTCAAGATATAATAACTATTTTTTTAAATGTCAAAGGGATCTGCTTTTATTTTTACTTTTATTTATTTATTTTTTATTTTAAATTTTTTCTTCTTTTTTATTAACACAGTAATTCTTATTATTGGGAATTATCGTGAACGATTCTTTTTTTTTTTTAAAGAAAGAATTTTGTGTTTTTGTTTTTTAGATTTATCGCAATTTTCCATTTAGTAAGGTACTAATTATCGAGACACCGACTGTATTTAAAACTAGTTTATATATTTCAAAATAGAATATATGTTTATTCGTAAAATTTTCTGGCCTATACCAAAGACTCTCTTTCGCACCTTTTTGTATTGGGGTTTAGTTAATTCAGTATAGCTACATATATAAATATGTTAATATATTTGAGTTAATAAAACTTGATTACACACATTTTATTGAAATACTTTGAAGCTCAGATTTACTCAGGGTGTAACCAAAATGTTGCATGAATCTCGGACATAGAACTAAACATATCTCGATTGACTGTTATGTGAACAGAGCATACCCATATACATATATATGTATGTATACATACTTAAATATTTATACAAGTTAACTACTAGTTTGCTAGATAATACATTTATCGTTTGGTGTGACCCTGTTTTTATTTTGTTGTTGCTTTTTTTCGCAGCGCCCGCAACGCGTATCGTTATTATCGTTATTATTGTTGTTGTTGTTGTCTGCTTAAATGCATGTTACACTCGGCAAACACTTGACAGTGCGCGCATTAAGCGTACTAAGACCACAGCAACACCAACAGCAACAGTAATAAGAGAAGAAGAGGAAGAGGACTAAAAACAAACACATTTATTATGAGATACGCGCACTTGAAAACTCAGCCCACACATTGCGTCCTCCGGGCGGGCACACACTTGCCTAATAGCATCTTGGTTAAAGCAAACACACGCACACATACATACATACATACATAGACGGCTATGTAGGTATATATCTATTCTATATACACATGTACATATAGTTGGAGCTGTATAAAACGTTGACAATTTTGTGCTGGGACAAGATAATTGCAAAAACCGAAAGAAGTAAAGTAATAACAAACAGAAAGACGTCGAAAATAAGAAGAATGAAAATTATTATTTTGTTAACTCTTTTACACTTTACTTTCAAATTTATTTGCAATGTAAGGCAATGTAACCCAAGCACGTTTAATAGCTGGCTATTACTGAAATAGTTGGCATAGAAATGAAATTTACTTGGAGAGCACTAAGACTAATACAGGTGCAGGTGCTGGTGCAGGTGTCGACGCCACGGTGCGTATGTGCAATATATACATATATATACTATATATACATATATATGCATATATATGGCGCTTAGAAACGCTTTAAGTGCATTGCTTTTAGTGCTAACAATAAAGAAAACGAACAAACTGAAACTAGATACAAAAAAAAAAAAAAAAAAATAGAGATATATATATATATATATATATATATATATATATATATATTTTCAACTGGTAGCAACGACTACCCGTGGCCACAAAACTGACGCATAATTAAAACGTCAGTGCCATGTGTTTGGCTTGCCACAACGTTAATGCGGTTGCAGCAGAGATGAGAGATAAACAGAGAAAGAGAAAGAGAGAGAGAGGGAGAGGGAGAGCGGAAGAGCGGGAGAGACTAGCCAAGTCAAAAGTCATTTGAGTGCGCTACTTCAAGTTTTTAATTGCAATTATAAAAACACAAAATAAAACTTTATTCGAGCAAACTTTACGTCTTGCATTAGCTCAACTCTCTCTGTCTACGACTGGGCAGGGGTCAGAGTTGAGCTTGACAGCGCAACAAAATCTAAATACAGTCTGTGCCAACTTTAATCACATTTGATTAAACAAATTCAGGTGAGTCCAAAATAAAAAGGAGAATAGTTTTTATACACATCATAAGCTGACTAAACTTGACTACTTGAAGCCAAAGTTGAATTAATTTTTAGCGCTAATTTTTCAATTTATATACAGCTTTGGTGTGACTTTTTTTTTTTCATGTGTACTCAGGCTAGACAAAAATAAAAATTGAATATATTTATATAAATTTATATATTTGTGCAGCTTGTGTGAGTTGTGCAAAGTTTTTGGTGCTTGTAAAGTGGATGTGAATGGTGATGATGGGGAGGGGGACTCAAGGTGGCAAAGGTAGCTAAAAATTGCTTAAGCGTGAGCCAATGATAGAAGAATTCAAATAGATATATATAAAATATATATATACAAAAATATATATATAAAATATATAAACACAATCATTAGCTCGCGCTCAATTCTCTCAAAAGAGAGAATACTACAGAACAACATTCAGTACACACATAAACAGCTACAAAGTATGAAGAAAAACCAACACCAAAAAAATTAATTTAAAAAAAAAAAATATTTTTGATGAAAATTAGAATAACTAAACACCTAGAAAATATATGCTAAATGTATATTAATGTAGCTTTATCAAAATAAACTAAGCAAAAAATGATTTTGGTTTTCTTTTTTCCATAAAATGATTTTTTTTTATATTTTGTTATAATTTGTATTTTAATTGTTTTTGAAAACATTGCAACTAACAGACCTGGCTTTGATCGAGACGACTTTGCCGCCAACGGGCATATTTTCCTTGACATAGATCGGCCCATAAACGGTATGATCCCAAACGGGAGGATTGTTGGCACGATCGACCACATCGATCTGCACTTCGACCGTGCGCGATAATGGCGGATAGCCCTTGTCTTGGGCCATCGCCTCTAATTTGTATGTCTCGCGCTGTATTTTGAATGCGATAGTTTTGTATTGCAGCGATAGTTTTGTGGTTTGTTTTCAAAAATACGAGCACGTTTCAAAATCAAGCGATGTTTTAGGTAAAAAATTGACAAAATTCAAAAGAAAATTTTTAGTTATAGTTGGTAAAAAGAGAAAGGAAAACTTTTTATAAAAATGTGAGCAACAGGTTTTTCTCATCAAATCAAAATTTTTATCGATAGAACCAACACCTTTTCAAGGAAGTTAAAAATCAAAATAAAATTGTTTGGAGAAACTTGAAATTAGTTTCATTAGATTTGGCGCCTTGTCAGATAGGGTTTCATATTAATTTTTATTTTCTTGTATATTTTTCTTGCAGTGCAAATTAATTTTCATTTTTTAATTTTTTATTTTATTTATTTTTTTTTTATGAAGTCTCGACCCTAGCCTTCAAAATGTTTTAAGAGTTAAAATATGTTTGTATATTTCGCTGTTAAGTGAACAAAAATTGGCATACATTTGGTAAAGTAACTCAGTTGAGCGTAAATAAATACAAATATATAATAATTATTTATTATTTATATAGTATAATAGTATAATAGTATATCGGATAAGACAAGAATATTTTGAAACTAAACTTGGCATAACAAAATGAAACTGAAAAAAAAAATAGGACTTTGTGCATTTCGAGTATTACAATTTTCATAGCATACTTTTTGAATATATTGCAATTTCATTTCATTTCGTGTTTCGACTATTGTTTTTTAACATTTTTGAACACTTTGTGGAATATATATATAAAGCATTTGTTTTCTTATTTTGTAATTACCTTGTTGTTTCCTACAGCCTCAAACTAAACTGTAACCTTGTATAAAATACAATAATTTTTCTTGTTGTTTTATTTTTGATTAAATTCCCATTTTACCGAATTTTCCCCAATTGAAACCAACACCAAATTCCTTCAGTTAACAGTTATTACAAGCAGTACTTTTAACCATGTGTGGGTTTGTTGTTTACTGAGCGAGAGAGAGAGAGAGAGACACAGCGAGAGAGGTGGGGGAAAGAAGTCGAGAGTATTTATTGGGTAAGCAATTCCAATGGGTATTGGGTTAGGTGGGTGAGCGTTGCAGCAAAATGCAAAAGTACCCGACAACCGCCGTCTGCGTAGGACGGACATGGGAACAAACAAACAAAACAAAAATACGTTTGCTCTCCAAACGAGCACCAACAACAGCATTTGAATTTGATTTTCGTTGACTTTGAGGTTTTGCTTGTATTCTTGTATTCAGATTTTTAACGGATTTCGACACTGTTGATGGTTGGCAAAAATGGTTGAGCTTTTACGATAGGCCACAAAAAGTTTTATCGTAAAAATTGGTTAAGTTCAAAATGTTAAATGTTAGACGAGAGAGATGGTAAACGATTAGAGACCGTATGTTAAAAATACTTGTACTGGAAAAGCTTACAGCTATGGTAATTCGTTAAGTGAGCAAAGCTTCGTTAAGCGAGCGTACATTACGTTTCGTTGAGTAAGCTTGTTAGCAAAGACACAATCCAAACGTGAACGTAAATGCAACTCGTTGAAACGAGCTCAAACTCGGAAGCTTAAGCCTATGTTAGCTAAAAATGCTGTTACATATATGGATAAAATAATGACTAAGTATGTTAAGCTAACAGCTGTTAGGCTTTGTTGTTTGTTAGCAACTTCAACTCGGCTTCATTATGTTATGGTAGTAGTGTAGAGTGTATGCAGTTGTTTAGTGTGTAGTGTAGTTGGCTATACAAACCTTGCCTTAACCGATGTTACAACCGTACCCACAGTGACATTCTCACGTATATGGATTGGCCCATAAATGCTCTTATCCCAAATGGGTGGCTTATTATTACGATCGACGACATCTAACTCAACATCAACGTCGGCATATGAGGGCGGATCCCCGCGATCGGAGGCGCGCACTCGTAGACGATAACGATCGCGCTGTTGATGGAGCGATTCGAATGAGTGTTGTTTTCATAGAAGTTTTCACAGTAGTTGTTAACAGCGAAATGTGTTAGCCACAAATGTTAGCCGGCATTGTGTGTTAGTTTAGTTCGTATATGGTTCGTGTATTGGGTTAGACGTAGTTAGTGTGCGTGTTACGTTACGATTACGTATTTTATATGGCATCGTTGTTATGTTGAATTCAAATTTAATTTTTCATTATAATTAGTTAATATGTCAAACATAAATCAAATGAAAATTGTTAAGTAAATAAGTAAATATTTGGGAATCATTATAATAAAAGCTTTTTTTTTTTTATTTTGAAAGGATTAAGCAAGGATGGGATGGGTTCTTCATTTGGTTAGCATTATTTTGCAGATAAACATATTTTTAGATTTTATTTATGGGATCACGGGATACTAATGTGGTTTATTTATTTTGCATATTTTGACGAGACTATCGCTTGCTTCGATCGAGAGAAACTGATGAAGTGTTTTGTTTTCTGTTAAGTTTCATGTTGATTGAATGTTGCTAACAGCAGGACTAGACAGATTTGAATGTTTAGTAAATGTTTACAGTCCTTTAGCGTTGCTAGCTAAAAATCCAGATATAGATATATGTTATGATTATATACAACATGAACTATTGGAGTCTTCTGTGAAAGTCCTCACAGAACATTAGTTTCTAATTGAGGTTAGCTTACGATTTGGTGAGCGAAATCGAATCTATTGCTGGGTTAGCACAGTATAACAGCAAAGATTATAACAGACACTTCACAAATAACGTATGTCGATTACTTACAGGATAACAGCCCTATTGAATAGTTTCGATTAGTTATCGATAACATCATTTCATATGTAAATTGGAAAATTAAAAAGAAACAGAAAACATTAACTCGCCTCAATGAACTGAACTCGTTGTAAACAAAAAAAATTCAAATCAATGTAAATCATATATTGTAAAAGGTGCAGTTAAATTAAATATATACATATACATATTTATATATGTAGAAACGTTGCCTAGTCGATGGATTTATATAAATTTTGGTATATTACAAAAAATTATTGAAATATTGACGGGCATTTAACATGGGCATGCAAAAATGCGTCACTTTCAGTTGAATGATATGAAAAATGTTTGTTTTTTTTTTTCTTTTGGCTAAAATCAAAATTAAAAAGAAGATACATATATGTATTGGAGAGCTGTTTTCTAGAGACCTTCAAAAAATCGCATAGTCTCGACAAAAAACCGTTTGATCTAATTCGCTTTTGTTTATGTTGCTTTTGGGATGGGTTTTAGTGTGGGATTATTTTAGGGTTAGCAAAAATAAAAAAAAATAAAAAAAAATATATGTATATATTTGTTTATATATATTTTTCAATAAAAATCAAGCTACAATTTGTTAAAAAGTGTTTGTAGTTTTATGATTTTGGTTCTTGTTTATTTTTTAGCCATCAAAAATTGCACAACGATGCTCAAAAATAGGCGTGATCGTTTGGTAGGGACTACCCTTATTACGTATTTAAATGTACCCTCTTTTCTTTTGTTGTTCTTTTTACATTGGCTTAAGTCTTAGGCACCTAACACCACAAAAATAAATAAAAGCAGCAGCTGGCAGTTAAAAGCTTTTTTTTTATACACATTTCTCCATTTGCTTGACTAAATTCACCCAGTGTACTTATTGGCATACCCTTATTCCTCTTTATTTTTTTTTTTTTTAGTGTACTTGTTTGATTTGTTTCAAAAAATGTTAAAAATCAATTCGCTTGGCATTTTTGCTTAGATTTTAGATTGAGCCAATTACGCACTATAAACTAAACAAAAAAAGTTGAAAAATCAATAGAAAACTAACTAAAAAGTTGAAAAGTAAAGCGCATATATATGTTAAATATATATATCTTTATATATGGCATTTGCTTATATATAACTTAAATTTTTTTGTACTTTTTTTTTCTTGTTTTCATTTTTAGTTTTTGTTCGAATGTGACAAAAAAACTTGCACTGCTTCGCACATCGAATTCGAATTTGTGGCTATCAAGAGAGTGGAAAAAAACTTTGCAATTGATAGCCGGCAAGGGGGCAGGGGCAGAGCTTTGCACAAAGTCTCTTAAACAAAAGAAAGGTGCATTGGAAATCATAATGAGAACTGAATAATTAAAATTTCTGCTCTTTGGTTATTGCTCTTGTCTCTGACTCTGGCGGCGCTAAGCGCTCAGCTTTCAATTGTTAGTAAGGGAAATAAAAAAGTTTGTTTTTATTTTTAAAGAACTTTTCATATTGTTTTTTTTTTTTTTTTATATGTAAATCATAAAACTTGGTTAGTTGGGTTCGCAAACATAAAAGACTCTAATAAATATAATAGAGTCTATATATATGTGGATGGGAAATCAAACACTTACGTCAAGCGGCTTCTTGAGCACTATCCAACCGGACTCGGCTTGTATATCGAAATATTCCAGATCGTTGGGATTGAAGGGTGCACTGAGGCTGTAGACAATGGCGCCATTGTTGTCAGCATCTTCATCGGAGGCGGAGACACGCAAGATGTTCGTGCCAATGCTGGCATCCTGCTTCACATTCTCCACATATTTCTGCAAGCGTAGCAAAGAATTTCCAATCAATTTCCCATATGCAATGAATTCTCTATATCAACTCACCTGTCGATCGAACAGCGGCGGATTATCGTTCACATCGGTTATCTCCACTGTGAACGAGCAGACGCCCTCCAGGCTGGGATCGCCCTGATCGGTGGCCTTCACTGTCACCGAGACGAACTTGCCATCGTCTCCCTCACGATCGAACACCTTGTTGGTAGAGACTTCGCCCGTCTCCTCGTCGACGGTGAATTTGGTGCCCTTCTGATTCGGTTGCTGCACTATCGAGTATTTAACCTGCCGGGCGACAAGAACATGCAAAATTGCTTAATGATTGACACAGCTCTGATTATGGGAGTGTAGTGCAGGCGCCGCGACACGACACGACATGCAACACGCTGCCTCTACATCGCGCTGAGTGCATTGAACTTGAGCGTGGCCACTCGGCCCGAATCTCGACACGAAATCTATCGCGCGATTAATATAATTTACCATAAACTGCTTGCGGTGAGTGGCCCACAAATCACGTACCCATAATTATGAGCGGGCACCTATAATAAACTCGGAGATCTGTATGTAGGACTGTGATAAGGATTGACTAGTCCCTTGAAGCAAAGTAGGTAAATATATGAATCTAAAATACTTATTTTGTTTGAATTATTTGTTCTGAATTATGAATTCTACTATTTGCTTTATGTACTTGAAGCTGCTGCAGTTTTTCTTCCCTCAAAAATAATTTATCGAACAAACTCTTATGTTATCGATCAAAATCTATCAAATTATTGACTATATCTGTATATCTTTAAAATAAATCAAACTTTGGCTTATAGTCGTTAATTTACAATAATTCTAAAATTTTGTTCCATAGTTCATCAACATATGTTTATCGAAGGGAACTCTTAATAGCATATTTTAGTAATCGATGAAGGTCGATTATCGTGTTGAAATATATGTATGAGGAATATTAGAAATAGCTATAATATTTAAAGGCGGTTTTCTTTTACGCAATTGAAAAAGTGTATATAAAGATATTTTTGATTGGACTTGGGAATGGATAATCGATTATTTAAAGTATTTATCCTATCAGTCATGACTATGCCATTATTGTAATATTGTCTATCAAACAAATTTATAAAAAAAATTTAGAAATCGATAATAATCGATTATTTGTATGGCTAGAGTTTTATCGATCATAGCTATACACTCGACAATCAGCTATGTAAAGTGATTTTTTCTCATCCCTTTTCCCTTCTTACCTGTCCATTGACGCCCTTATCCTCATCTGTAGCCACAACCTTGATAACTGGACTGCCATTGGGCGCCCCCTCCTCCACTTTGGGATAGTAGGTGCCGCAGTCTTTGAACACGGGCTTATTATCGTTCACGTCCGTGATGAAGACAACCACAACGGCCGTGGAGGTGTGTATGGTCTGATCGCCGTTGACGCAACAGCTGCCATCGTCCATGGCCGTAACATTTAGCTCATACTTATCGCGATCGAGGGAGATGGCTTTATTATGGAGTCGTATCACGCCCGTAATGTCTTCGATGACAAACTGGCCGGATGAAGTGCCACCGCCGACAAAACCGAAGCGCACATTGTCGCCATCCTTGTCGGAGGCCACGACAGTGGTGACCAAAGTATTCGGACCCGCATTCTCGTCCACATTGGGCGTATAAACTTGTTGCGAAAACTTGGGCTCTTCGTCGTTCTTGTTCTTGGTGTAGACGCGCACGGTGGCTGTGCCCGACTTGGCCGGCTCGCCCTTGTCCTTGGCCGTGACTATGAACTCGTAGTAGGCATTGTTGTTGTCCGCATCCAACTGCTTGTTGTTCACAATGATGCCATTCGAGTCGACAGCGAAATGATCATCCGAGACGAGGTATTCGATTTCCGCATTGGCGCCCGAGTCCGCGTCCATGGCCTTCACGCGCAGTATGCTGGTGCCCAGCGGTATATCCTCGTCGACATTGTGCGCCTGATAGTCGGGCAGCTCGAACTTGGGCGCATTGTCGTTGACGTCGGTCACACGTATGGTTAGCTGCAGTTGAAGGATTTGCAAATTAAATTCATGTCGAGACGTGAATTGTGATGGTTATGTTTACCTCGACGGATGTGGAGAAGCCGCCCGAGTCCTCGGTGGCTGTCACAATCAGCGTATAGACATGCGGCTGTCGCAGGTCCTCAAAGTCCAGTTCCTTGGCCAGCTTGACAATGCCCGATGAGGGTCCAATGTTAAAGGTGCCAGCGCCCTGGCCCTGCGCCTTCAGCGTATACCGTATCTCTCTGTCCGCAAAGGACTTGGCCTTAACCGAAATGATGCTGCAAAAAGACAAGCGGAGAGTGTGAGAGAGAGAGAGAGAGTAAGAGGGTGAGAGAGAAACCACAAAGGCGCGTGTGGATGTGACAGTTAGCGAATGGAGTTTGCGGTTGTCATATGTAAAATGCATGCATATATTGCACTGCGCGTCATCAGTTCATGTTCTAAACTCATCATCATGAGGTAGTCTTTTAATTTTTGTTATGTTTATTAGTAACTTCAGTTGCCAAATTTTGTGAGATATTCATTATTAAATTTGAGTGCGCAAATATAATTTTTATTTATATTTTTATATCTTAATTATTATTTTTAAATTTTTTTTTGTTTTTTTTTTTTTTTTTTTTTTTTTTTTTTTTTTTTTTTTTGATTACAAAATATGAAACAGAGTCAAGTTTTAATTTATTCAACAAAATTAAATGAGATATTTACATTTTAATTTGAGTGCCCAAACCAAACTTTTAAGAACCATTTTTTTTTTTTTTTTTTTTTTTATATATATATATAAATATTTACTTTTATATGTTAATATAAAACAAAGTCAAGTTTTAGCACCTTTTAAAAAAATTAGTAAATAAATAAATATATTCACTATTAAATTTGAGTGCGATAACCTAATTTTTAAAAGCCATTTTTTTTTTTTTTTTGGTACAGTTTTCTTTTTCCAAAATTAGAAAAATACTTTTAATATGAAACAGAATTTAATTTAATTGATAAAAAAAGAACAGTAAAATATAAAAATATAATCAAAATCAAAATTCCTATACTAATGCCGCGCAGTGTCTATGCATAAGTATGTGAACATTGGAGCAGGAGAGGTCCGGACCCGAGCACGGCTCCGGGCCTGGCTGTCTGTCACTCGCTCGACTGCCCTTTGACAGTTGTTTGCCAGCTATTGGAATTTCAATGAGCCATCTCGTGCCTCCATCTAGCTCACATTGTCATGCTCCAGTTCGCCTAACTTTTATTGGCAGCCCGTAGGTCTGCATTTGCATATATTTCACAGTTTCGCTTTAGCAACTTACTCGGAGTCCTTTTTCTGGTTCTCTGGTATCTCGGCCTCATAGCCGGGCATATAGAACTGCGGCGCTCGCTTGCCGCCCACGATCGAGAGTCGCTCCTCGGGCGTGCTCTGGAATCGTCGATCGTCGACTTTGCCATTCTGATCCTCGGCCTTCACGTACAGCACATACTCCATGTCCAGCTGGAAGAGATCTGTGCCCCGTGTGCGCACCACGCCCGATCGTTCGTCCACCTCGAAGCGTCCGCCGGTGCGATCGCGCACTATGAAGTAATGTATGTTGTGATCCGTATCCGGATCGCGTGCCTGCAGCGTAAAGACTGGCGTATTGGGCGGTGCATTTAGCTGCACTACCGCCTGCATGGGCAGTGGCCGATTGATGAAGTAGGGCGGCTCGTCATTGACATCCTTCACCAGTATAATCACACGCTGGTTGTCCGTGTACTTGATGCCAGCTGCCAACGAAAGACGGAGAAAACAAGAGAGAACGAAATTTTAGTATATTTTTTGGGCCACTTTTGTTATTTTTTTTTTTTTTCTTTCTTTTGTTTTGTTTGTCTATTGGTGCAGGAGCACTTTTGCATATGCATGTGTGTGCATACTTTTCGCTCGCACTGTGTTGTGGCTAGCACTAAAAGTTTACTTTGCCTGTGCTGGGGCTGTGCTGCCATTGTTATTACAACTAATGGATAGTTGGTTTAGTTACGGAGAAAATAGAATCGAGAGAAAGGCAGTGGCCGAGGGAAAGAGGGTGGGTGGTGATGCGGGGAGGACTTGAAATGGGGGACAGCCTTTCGTCGTCGGCGCGTGTAATTTAAAGCGCTCGAATTTCACTTAAGCCAAATGCAAATGCAATGAGCCGGAAAATCAGTCCAAGGCACAATGTTGCCAACTGCAAATTGCAATTGTTGTGCCTCAAAGCTAATTATTTGTCATGCTTCGAGCATAGCTAGAAAGGACTGAGGAATTTGAAATGGTAGAGAACTGCTTTAATTTTGTATAAATTTAAAGAGGAATTTTTGTGAGAATTTCTCAAAATAATTTAATATTTTTTAAAAGAATTTTTCAAAACATTTATATAGTTTTAAAACTAATCGATATACATATTATTTTCTTAAATTATTCTAAATACATATATATATAAAATTATCTATAATACTTCAGTTTCAGTTTCGCCTTGGCGACTCGCTGGCTTTCATTATCTAGAGTAAACTGTCATTTATAATATTAAATATTTGATTTACCTTTACACACTGACCATTAAAGCAAATTGCAATGGCGTACAAAATAATTTGTTGCACAGTGTAGTTGCTTTAGAGCACTTTGAAGATAATGACATGCCATTAGCTATGCAATAGCACATTATTCAAATGGACGTCTTGGCTTCGTTTGCTAAGGTTCAATTTGGGATGTCTCTGCTCTAAATGTGAACCCTATTTCTGGGAATAGCTACTCGTATATGAGGGCCGAATTGCCTTTTTTAATTCTACGTTGATAAGTTACCTGAGCCGTAGTCTAAGGCCAATTGAAAAAAAAATACTAAAGACAGACTTTAGTTTAGCCTTTGAAAGATTAGAATATCGAACAAGAAATGGTTTATTATTAATGTTGAAGGCATTAATAATAAATAGTTTTTCAAACAAAAACATATAAGTTCTTGAAATCATATCGCTGAGGAAATTCAAGTACATAATAGAAATATGAAAATTTAATACAATTTAATACAGAATAAACAAGTCAAGGTACACTCCTTATTGAAGTTGCTAGCTTGTTCCCCCGAAAGCATCTCAACTTGACTAAAAATTGGGCATATAAACTTTTGTTTTTACATAGCCTGAAATTTGCCTGAAAAATGGCAGTAAAAGCAAGCTTGAAGGAAAAAACACATAAAATCAATAAAAGAGCCGCCTGCTGGAATTAAAAGAGAGAAAGAAAGCAAAAAAAGGAATAAAATAAAAAAGAAATAACGTGTGGGAGTCTGGGTCTGGGCATGGCCACCTATGCAAAATGTCTGCAGCGGAAAATACCAATCATGTTGTTGTCGCTGCTGTTGGTTAGCGCAAACAACAACAACAACAACAACAGCAAAAGCAACAACAGCAACAAAAGCCAACAACAAAGCAGCACAGCAAAGGGCCAAAAAGGGAACCCTAATGCTGACGCTTATTAAAAGAGTATGTGTGTGTGTGAGTGTGTGGGTTGCTGTATCCATGTGTGTGTGTGTGTGTATAGAGTGTAGCATGTAGTGGTAGACAAATAAGACAGACGATTTACTCGCCTCCTCTGCCCGCGGTGCTCGCACACAGCATGAAATTCGAGCGTAATAAAAGTAAGGGGCAAAAAAAAAAACAAGAATAGGGAAGGCGGGCAGAAGGTACAAGGGGGCGAGGCTAAAGCGAAGCATGTGTAATTTCTCAAGTGCAGCAAAGTGAATTGTAAACAGGTAAAGAAGTGCGCCCTTCAAATTCCCCCCAAAAGCAGGCTTCGTTTTTTTTTATTTTACCGTTTTTTATCTGTTTGGTAAGCAAATATCGTGCTTCAAAACAGGGCAAAAGAACGAAAGGCGTTAAGCAGCAAAGGAAATGCAGCTGCCAAAAAAGGTAATATATATATAATATATATATATATATATATATATATATATATATGCTCAACAGATTGCTACATTGTCTGCTTGACTGGCGTGGGAAGGGGAAGGGGGAGGTGGTCTAGGCTCACCCTTGGCAACTGCCACTCGGCTGCATTTGAGCCAAGTTTTCGCTATTTGCCAGCTTTGGCTAACAGTGCCAAAGCTTTTCTATGGCTTATTCTGCGGGCAGGTAAAGTTGGAAATTTAAATAACACGAAATACATAAATGAAAGTTGTACGACGTTGTTGTTGCTGCTGTTGTGGTTATTGTGCAGTGGAACGTGCCACAAAGCAGCAGCATCAGCAGCAGCAGCCAACATGGCGGATATCCGTGGCGACAATGCAACACAATGGAAACAGGCAGCAGACGTAACGAGAAATTGCTAAAGAGTATGGATGGAGCAGATGTAACTCTGGCTAGAGCCGTCTACATTGTATTTGCGAATAAAAAATAAAAAAAATGGCTCAAAGATTTTTCGTCCTGGCTTTTATGCCAGCCCCAAAAACTGGCTGCCGCAGTCGCATTTATCATTTGATTTTCTCGTTGGAAACAAGTAATAGAAATTGTAATCGAGCTGTTTCCGTTCGAAATGGAACGGGCTTATAAACAATCAACTCATATTGCCAACAGCTGTGCCAAAGGTTGCTGGCCACAAGGCGAATTAGGGCTAGAAATGTAATTTTCTATCAAAGAAAAATATAGAGGGAAAACATTGTCTTGCGGAAATGCTGTCAATCTGCGGGTTTATTTAACTTTGAACTTTGAAATGCGAATTATTTCCTTTTTTACTATGCTTGATAATAAACTCATAATGGAGCAGAGACTCGAGCTTACATATGCTATTGATAATATTATGCCGCTAAGAGAGGAAGAGGAGTAACAGACAAGATAGTCAAAAGTAAGATCAAGATTCATTTAATTATTATTATATTAATTTAACTTTTATATTCAATATTTTTGAATATTTCTCTAAAATAAATATAGCTCTTTAGATTATTAAATTAATATCATTTTTAATAAACACTTTAATTTGAATTTAAAAAAAAAAAATGTTTTAACAAATTGTACATCAATTTAAAAAATAATATTAATAATATTATATTGTTTGTTTTTGAGCAAAATAAAATTTCCTCAAGTTTCCTTAAGCCCATTTTGTCTGTAAAATAAGTTTCGATGTAAAGAAAATGTCCAGTAAAATCAATATTCTTAGAGAATCATTTTTAAAGGCTTCAACAGACTCTTCAGCAAAATTAATATTCTTAAAAAATCATTTGGAAATCCAAACGTTAATAAACTCATTATCTTTTTCTAATTTATATTATAGCCTAAGAAAAAGAATGAATAATTTTTAATATATTTGTTGGGTCAAGCAACCAGCGCTACGTAAGCTTTATAAGAGACTTATTTTTATAAAGAGATTTCGGACATTCGTTCCATTCCAATCTATCCCTTACTCTCGTATTAATTCTCACAATTTCTTGCTCGTGCCAAGCTTTTGCTCTTAGTTCGTTCAATTATTACAGATGCGCGTGCTTCGACAACACTCGTCGTCTATTTGTCATAGTAGACGACAGTTCACTCAAATTGTGTTGGCTTAATATGAACAAATATTGTGAATAAAATTTCACGAAAATTCTCGCTTTCTCATTATGTGTGATCATACAGAAAACTTAGCTGAATATCTACTCAACTTCAATCTCAGCCTCTCAGGCAACATCATTTCATGGCTCAATTTAAGAATGAATTCATTTAGATTGGTCTTGCAGCGATGCTAACTGATTTATGTGGGTCTATTAGTTGCCTTTTCTTTCTAAATTGGTTGCGTCTCGCTCGCACGCTGCCAACTATCAGCAGCTAAATACACACACGGCTTGGGCGTCAGATGACATCACATTACGAGACTATTAAAATAAATTTCTAAAACGTAGAGCATAAATAAATTTTGCTTACGTTGCACGCGGAGCACGTAATACAAACACACTCACACACGCACACTGACGTACACAAGTTTCAGTTGTCAATTTTGCTAACAAATTCAATTTTTATGCGCATCAATTTGAAGACAGAGATTCCAAGGACCGTAGACCACCCAGGCACCCACACACATACAGAGACAGCCCAAAAGTACCCCGCCCATTGACATTCTATCCCCCTCACACACACACACACAGCCAACTCTGCGAGAGCTGCGCCACACAGAAGTTCCGTTTCGCCAAAGGCGACAGTCGCACATAAAGAGCGAGCTCTGTACATGCATGAAGTATGATATAAAGTATAAAAAAAAAATTGGAAAAAAAAGAATGAAGAAGCAGAAGAGGAACTTGAAGCTGAGCGGGTGCTGCACACTCGAGCCAAGGCAGACGCATGCGAGGCAAGTGCCGTGGCAAGTGTGAGTTGTCGTCGCTGCTGCAGCCACCCTCAGCACGACAGCACGGCTCGATGGAGGGCCGTGGAGGACCTCAGCATCAACAGCTCTGCATCATCTTATGCTTAGCACTTTGCAGCATGAAAAAACAAGAAGCTGCCGAAGTGGCAGCCGTAGCAGCAGCAGTAGAATAAGTCGACAGTTCGCCATGGCTGGCTTCAGCTTAAACCATTAAAACAATAAGCAGCTTTGTTCTGCTTTTCACTTCTTCTGCCCACGAGCTTGTCGCCCTGGCTTTGGGCTTTCTTTTGTTTGTAACCCAATGCAGAGATCGGCAAAAAAATTGAGATAGAGCTGCCAGATTGAGAGTGAGGAATGCGGAGATACCTTATAGAAATTATAAAGGTTCAATGAACCTATAATATAGCAATAAATATATTAATGTAAATAAATATAAATA